CAAAGTGTAGGATGCAAAATTGGTACACTACTCTGTGATGGACAAACCACAAATAAAAAAAAGAATGCTCCGATATGGGAATATATAAATAAGCATTGTAGACATCCGTCTTCATTGTCCAAAGACCCAGAGAAAAAGTCCACCAAAGAGTAAGGTAGGATTCCATGGTGAATATATGGAGATGGGACAGGTCAATTACCAGCCTCCAGTTCCTGATCTTTTGGGGAAATACAAACAGGAGGGACTAAAACCCCCACAAACTGCATGGAGCAGGTTCAATAGACTGTTGTGTGAGGAGGTCTTGCACTGCAACGGATAGATGCTGGCATCACAAGGGATCCCAAGGAGGAGAAAAGGAAACAGGCACACTGAACAAGGGAGGAAAGATAAGAAATGAAATGACGATTCCCTCTGACAAAACTTGGCGAACCCAAACATCAGAGATGAAAGGGCTCCACTAATGAATGAAGGTCGTCAGACAAGCTCCCATGGAAGTGATCCCACCACGTAGTCATCAGAATCGTTTTTGGCATGCCATGCATCGCTGTGAAAAACAATGAACAGTGGCACTGCGGGAAGGAGAAATAGGCAAGGGTTGGGAAGGGGATGGTAGGGTAGGGTCGTGTGACAATAACTGGTGCCATGCTTGGCTCCAACTGGGGCAAACAGGCCACCAGATAAGAAAGGGTGGATTGTTGTTGGACCAAAACCACCCTCGACACCAAAGACTACAGGATCATGTCAAAAACGAAACGTCTTAAAAACGGGGCCAAACGAAGGTCCCATACATAAGGAGCCAGGAGATGGGTCCATGACAATATGGAATTATGACCCAAAAGGTCCCAACAACAAATAAACCAAATTTGCAGGGTCAGAGCCAATGATGACTGGCAGGCCAACATGGAAGTGAGGAGGGAGAGGACATCTCCAGAAAACCCCTTAGGATTCCTGTGAAGAGCCTCAGACAGGAGATGGATTGAGGAAAGATACCGCCAAAGACTCATCAGGGTAAGATAAAGGCCAGAATACAGAGCATAGGTAAAATGAACGGGAGATTCGAGTCCCAGCCCCCAAACAGGCAAAACTGAACCCAACAATTTTGGTCCAGATATGGACATTCCGCTCAACAATAAGCAAGAGGAGACTGATACAAAGTCCGTGGGGGCCAAGACATACTAATGCCATCACCTAATTGGGAGGCAAAATGCTCAGTGTGTACCTGATTATCAGGGGACAGGGGAAAAACTAAA